TGACCATGGGTCCATGTATGTAAAACAGAAAATGTTGGTGGGCAGCTAGTTTTTCAGCTTTTATCCTGTTAATTTATACTGAACTCAGCAAAACAGCTTCATAATACAACAAATGTCAGCTGCTCCTGACTGCACTTTTCTCCTCTCCACTGGCAATGGAGTGCATTCTGGTAGGTGGTGCTTTGCAGTTTTTTTTTGGTTTTTTTTGTTTTTTGAACAAATGCAATGTAGATGTATCTAATGCAGCACCAAGTTATTCTCTATTTCCTGTGGGCCACGCTGAATGCAATTTTTCTGGACCAGAGTTCTACTCTATTTATATTGACTCATTACATTCCAGTGACCATAGTTATATGGATTATGTGGATACAAATAATTTGTATTTGATTCTGTTTGCTGTGTAGCAATGTAATAGCATGATATAGTATGGTCTTATGGCATTTTTTTTCTATTTTATGTCTGAAATGCAAGAGAACAGTACACTAGTAAACCAGCTGACATTTTAATAGAATTCTCCTGAGATTGTCAATACAGGGAGAAGTCATCAGGCTTACAAAATATATGAGTAGATTAAAAAGTGATCAAAAGCTTCAGAGGGGGTAGCTGAGTTAGTCTGTAAATGGAAAAACTTAAAAAACAACAAATAGTTTTACCGCTCCTTCAAGACTAACAAAACATATATAGATGGAACATATATAGCTTTCATGGGCACGAGTTTGGTGATTTTAAGTCCATTCTCAAAACCTGATTAAGAAACAGTAGAAGACAGACAATATTCCAACTACATCACACGTCCAGGAAGTAATCAATATGTCCAGAAATAAACAACATTGTATCTCAAAACATTGTATCCTACAGTCTGCAGGCAAAATTCCCACAAAAAGTCTTGCATAAAACAATTGTTACTCTTCATATTGCCCTTCAGTGCTTTAGCTTTTTAAAGCGGGCAATGTTTCAGTCTGAAATTAGGAACAAGTATTATCAAATATTGGAAAAGAAAAGTTGCCAAAAGGTATTATATTTAAAGGTTTAATACTAAGCTAGAACCCAGGCCATAGTGCAGGGTTGGGACACACCTATGGGTCTTCAGCTGCAAGAGCTCTAGGTCCGATTGGTAGAGCCCTGCAAGTCTGCAGATATCTGCTTTATAACCACGGGTATCCACACCTGCAGCTGTGGTTGCGGATATCCACGACTCATGTTTGTGGATGCATATATAGCTATAGATATAAATTTTGTATCTAGAACCTTACTGATTGGAAAGGGTGTATTACAAGAGGTGAGTCTAATTTATTTTAAAGACAAAAGCACTCACATCTAACCGCAGAACAAGTTCCGGCAGTTCTGCTGCCAGGGATAAGCAGAAATTGGAAAACCACAGAATTCCCGCTGACTGGAAGTTCATGTAGTGATGCCCAGCTTGAATCCCCATCCTATGGGATTTTTGTAAGCTCTACTTTTTGGAGGTTGTCATTCATGTCTCTGAGGGTACGTCTAGACTGAACTCTAAAATTGAAATAAGCTAATTTGAAATAGGCTATTTTGAAATTTGACACATCTACACGGTGCTAAATTTCAAATTAAAACACTATTTCGAGACCTCCCATATGCCTCCTGGAACAGGATTTACAGGGATGCAGAAACAGCATGTCTGTTATTTCAAAAATTATTTCAAAATAGTAGGCGCATTCCTTGGACGCAGGGTAGCGATTTTGGGATACTGAGGTATCTCTAAATAGTTTTGCAGTCTAGACGTACCCTAAGGGATGGTACAGCAGAGAAGTATCTAAGAGGCCTTTCAGACAATGTGATTGCTGGAGAACTGACTCCTAATGAGAAGTTCAGTCCCATAGTACTGGCTCTCCTTGTTTCCAGCTGGGAAGGAGAATGAAATGAAAAGCAAAAGTGAGTAGTGTGAAAACATTTTCCCCAAAAGAACAAAGCACTTATTGCCTTATAGACAGATAAAATACATAAATACTTCCTTTCCTTTTATTACTTTTTCTAGTAAGCAATTGCTTTGGTGGCTACAGGGATGTCACATCATTGTGAATGTGAAAAGGGATCCAAGGGAACCTGAATGGTCCAAAAAACCAATATTGACACTATCATGTATAGAGTTACACACTGTAAAATGGTTTGGGAAACAGAGAGGACAGTTACTTTCATTTCAACTCTATAATTCTGTCTTCTTTATCTGCAAAAAAGAGCTACACACTTTTCTGCTTTATTGATCTTCTGAAACCTATCAGTACATTTAGTCCATGTTGTATTATATAAGACAGTAAATGACTATCTACTTTGTGGCATTTCTTCAGCCTGTGGTCCTTTATGCTACAGTAGTTGATTTTAAGTTTATCAGGAATCCTCTTTAAGTTGAATTAATGATCTATGCTGAATCCATTCACTTTTTTAAAAGTTTTACATTAAACTGGACAAATAGGTTAGAATGTTAGATCCATGTTCTGTAGATGATACCTGAGTAAAGCAGCCATTGTTAAACACAACAGTGAAAAGAGAGCAGCTTGTGCAACATATTCCTTTTCAAATGCAATATGCTGGATGCAGGGCCCAAGGAGATGGGGCAAAGGTTAACTACAATGCCACCTTTGTACCCTTCCCTATTTTCAGTCTATCAACTTGGAGCCACTTCAGCCTGTGGTACGTGTTAGAACAGCCTCAGACCTGCCCTAGTTTGAGACCAGTTGTCTGTGTCCCAAGAAGCCTGCCAAGCAGCCAGCAAGGATTGCCCAGTGATTAGAGTGATATCTCAGCTCTGGGAGACCAAATTCAATTCCATTTACCATGAACATCTGGTGTAATTGTGAGCAAATCCCATAAAGTGACCAGACAGAAATTGTTAAAAATTGGGGTGGGAGATAATAGGCCTTTATATAAGAAAAAATTCTGAATAAGCCTATAAAATCAAGATTCTGATCACCCTAAACTCACCCTGCCTCAGTTTCTCATTAGGGAACTATACTCTACTTTACAGGTACCATAAGAGGATAAATACATACCAGATTGGAGCATAAGAATCATATAAGTACTTTGGAGTGGAATAGTTGCTGCAGTACTGTATCCTTTTCTCCAAATGTGCTCCTTGCATAATTGGGTTAGTAGGGTAGTTATAACCAACTATACTCCACATGGAGACTCTCTCTATATTAGGGAATTTTCCAACACTGGACTCATGGCTCCTCTGCTCCAGCAGAACCAGTATAAATAAGCCAGGGTACGTCTAAACTACATGTCTCTGTCGACAGAGAGATGTAGATTAAGCACATCAAAATTGCTAATGAAGCAGGGATTTAAATATCCCATGCTTTATTAACATAAACATGGCCACCGCTTTGTTTTGAAACAGAGCTTTTTTGAAAGAAACGGCAGTCTAGACACGGATCTTTTGAAAAATAAACCCTTTTTTGAAAAATCTTGCACACCTCATATTTAAATCCTCGCTTCATTAGCAATTTCGACATGCCTAATTGACATCTCTCTGTCGACAGAGAGGTGTAGTCTAGATACAGCCCCACA